TCCAGCTGAAACATGTTCATGCGCATAAATTGCCCTTGGAGGTTATGAATGGACCAGTGTGCTGAGGACGATGAAAAAGAAAACATTGAGGTGTTGAGATGATGTACAAGCAGAAACATGGATGGAGCAGTCAGAAGGTGTAAAACTGCTCTACATGGAAAATAATCACACTGATTTTACAATATGAAATGTCTTCCAAAACATGAATCACTTTAAACATAAAAAGCATGAAAACATGGACACTGGATGGATGAAATTAAGTGATTTAAGAGAAAACTTAGAAAACAGTTTCTGGCAGATTCCTATTATGAGAAAGTGTGAAGAAGCCCACTTATTTTCTTTTATAGAAATAAGCTACATGGACACCCTCCTTCATTCCAGCCCATATGAGTGCTGACAGAAGCACCACAGAAAAAAAAAAACACAAAAACCTTCTACCGCCAGCATGAAACTTCAAAAATGGTGATCATAATTTCAACAGTGTTCTTTTCCTCTTTGAGCACAGTGAGTGACAGCAGCTCTCACACCAAAACCAAGGCGTTAGTCGCTCCTGTTTCACAGCTCGAGAGATGTTAGCCTACCCTTTGGCCTATATAATTTCCCCAGTGGTGAGGAGGGGGGCCACAAGGGGAGAGGAGTGAGAGAGTGCTGGAAGGCAAATGGTTAAGTTTCCACTGTCTGAGCCATCTCTTCCCCCATCTGGTCGGCTTTTTCATGAGCTGAGGTTTAGCAGCCGATCAGGCCCCCTGGGCATCTGAGAGGCTGCCAGTCTACAGAGCAGCCTCTCTCCTGTGTGTGCCTGCTGACTGACCGAGAGGCTACAGAGGCATCCAAGAAGCCCAAACTGCTCTCCTCCAACAGGCTGCAGCTCACATGAAAAAAGAACCAAAAATACAGAGCTGAGACAGACAGAATCTGAGTAAAACATGTGGAAAAAAGAAAGTGAGAAAAAAAGCCAAAAATCTTCCCCATGAGCATTAATCTTGTTCATGGGAACCCATGTAATTTTCGAGTTATGGGTTTCCTTGTGCCACACTGTGTTTCCATCATCAAACCACATAAATTGTGTGCATTTTTTCCACCCCCAGCTTCCTTATCACTCTTTTGTAAATATTTCCCAGTAACCTTCAACATTAACTCAGCTGCTGTCACTGATGAGTTCTTAAAGAATGGCAACTCTTTGCTGTGGAATTGGTGACAGCCTTAATTTAAACATGCTAATAAGGAGCCAGGTTGCACTTCTTGCAAACAAACCCCTAAAGATAAAGCGTTTCCTGTCTTGACTCAGAATATGGTGAAATAGTTCCACTTTTCAAGATGCTGTTCTGTAAAGCAGGTATAATGGTTGAACCTTGTATGAAGGTTGTACTCCTGCAGTGGCAACACGTACAATAAGGCCAGTTAATGTTTTGTTTTATTTTAGTGAGTGAATAAATGATTTTATGAATACAATTCCATGAGATTTTTTTAATACACTTCACCCCAAGGTCTCAGCGTCTGGCTTTCTTCAAAGAGACGCCATTGAACTTATGGCCAAATGCAAGAATTTGGGATTTATTTTCTGCCCAAGAAAGACTAAAAGTGTGAGTAGCTTCTAGAGTCTGTATCCCTACACACCAAAATACAAAACTGTTAACCCAAACAAGAGTTAGTTATTTTTTGAGCAACTAAAGGACATATCATGAGGTTATTAATTGCAAGGGATCATTCTATACAAAGCGGGAACAAGCTCAACAAATTTTTCTTACAATATTCCCAATAAGTGTTGACATTTCTATGCACAAGCATATTTTGGCATCACTGTAGCCTTAATCAAAGGCTACAATAACCAAAACCATTGGGATTCCTCATCTAGCGCCAAAGAATATACAAATTTTATGGCAGTGAAGCCCTTCGTTGCAGAGATTTGTAGATGTGGACCAAAGTGTTGGACAGACAGACAGACTGTATTCCTTAAACCTGTTAACTGTTTTTCTGGCCACCTGGGAGCAGTAGAAAGAAGTTGTGAATGTAAAACTGACATATCAACTTGTTAGCAAACAGTTTCTTATTTATCATAATCATTACTGATACTTCCAGTAGTAATGGAGCAACATTAGCATTCATTTGGAGTTGTTTGTGTCCGCATGATGACATGTAACAGCACATCTGCACAGAAAAAAATTTCAGTTGTTCATCTCCCCTCCATCTGATAAACAGACGCTCTACTATGTTAATCACTATTTATACATGGGCTGTGAAAAGGCTGGCACTTTATTCATGCTAAATGCTGGTAAGCATGGCCTGACACTAAAACAAACAAAAAAACTGAAAGACTACAATAAATAAGCACTAAATCATCTGCAATTGGTCCAAAACGCAGAGGATTGCAAATTATTTAGTGCTTTTTCATTAAGTCCTTAAAATACTAAACAAGAAATGAAAGATTACAAGAATCTGAGACAGATTGTTTCTCTTATTTCCCCCATTTAAAAAAAATCTGATTAGTGGGTCTGAGTTTTAAAGGGTTATATGATGTAAAGAGGGCAATGTCCTCTTGCACAATTGTAAAATTGATCTGATTGAATTAATACAAAATAATCAACTCAATCCTGAAAAAGAATATAAATATTAGTAGGAACTTACATGTTTGAGTTCTAGTAAAACTTGTCGGGTCAGCTCTATCCTCTTCTTGTTGACGTGCTTAATGGCCACCAGGTTCCCCTGTGTGCAACAAGAGAGAAGACAGGACACTGAATCCAGCACTGGGGGAGAGTTCTGTTTATTTACTATATTAGACTTTTATTGTATGAAGAGATCAAAGACCATAATGAGAATGCACTTTGGTAGATGCACAATAAATATGGCTGAAAAAATGACCACAGCAACATACCGATACTATAGAAAGTACAAACCAGGAAAACAAACAGTATTCAGAGGAGAGAACAGCATCTCCCAGTACAGCCTACAGGTACAGTAAGTAATCTGTGTGTGTGTGTTCCTTTGTGTTACTTACATCATGAGCACCAAAACCTGTTAACACACTCACACCATGGGGACTTGGCCACACTGAATTTTAGGGTGGCAACATGGTTAGTATGAGGTTAGATATTAGGTTAAGTATTAGGTGTTAGGGTTAGACAAATAGTGGTTATGGTTAAGGTTAGAATAAGTCTACAGGAAATGTATGTAAGTCAATGTAAAGTCCCCACAATGAATGAAAACAGTGTGTGTGTGTCAAGGCCATTCACTATCCCTCAGGCTGTAGCATATCGATATATGCTATATTGGGCAGCAATATGGGCCCTGTCTTCCTAGTTCTTCCTAGGGTTTTGAATTTTGAGAGATCATTAAGCTCTTTTAAAATTAAATAGCCGTCCCTGGTCGGCTAGTGGTTAAGGTGCAAACCTCTCGCTGCTGCGGCCCGGATTCGAGTCAGGGTTGCGTCAGGAAGGGCATCCGGCGTAAAACGTGCCAAATGTCAACATGCAAGTTGTCAGTGTGACGATTTGCTGTGGTGACCCCTAAATGGGAAAAGTCAAAAGTGACTTTCCTATTAAGCTCTTTTAAACCAAAAGAAGCTTCATATGAACCTGCTGCAGCAAGCCCTCAGTATGAAAATAGTTTAATAAAAAAAGAGAAGGCTCCAACAAAGTATCCATGGTACAGAATCCAAGGAGACAAAGAGCAGCAGACTGAGCAGCTAGACAAGGCCACAGAGAGGCAGACTGTAGATGCTGCTGTTCTGGAGCTGGAGCTGAAGCTGCAGCTCAGAACAATAAGAGCAGATCAGTAATGGAGAGGCTCTCAGAATAAAAAATGATACAATGGTCCTGAAAATGGAGGGTGAGCTTTACAAACAGAACAATGCTCTGGAAAAGATGAAGAAAAATCAACTTCAGATTGAAGTGGAAGCTCCGGAGGAGACCAAAAAACACAGGACTCCTATGTGGAACAAATCAGGCACCTGAAAAAGCCAGTGTCTTTTTCTGTGTTGAGATGAAATGGAGTTGTAGCTATCCAAATGAAAGCAGAGGAGCAGCTGTAGGTTCATCTGAAACAGTGGCAGGAAGAGATGGCCTATCTCCACAAGCCACTAACACACTCCAACAACTCTTAAGAGCAGAGAGACACCAAGCCAACGTGAAAGAACTAGTTGTGACGTTAGTGGTGACACTGCTGTTCTCTGCCCTTGGTTTTTTGGTTGTGGAAGAAGAAAGGAGGCATAAGAGATGAAAAGCAAGAAGAAACGCCACTAAATGGGTGAAATCATGGATACTACAGGCTGAAGGGGCTTTCCCTAGCCATTCTCTTCCCGTGCACTGATTTGTTAAACTCAACAGCCAATCAGAGTGGTCTCTCTCTCTCTCACTGACGAGGTCCAACACCGATTCAACATGTCAAGTCGGCCAAAATGCTGCAGATAGGATCCAACTAGTGCCAATGATGTGGGACAGACCATGAAGATGAGCCCCGACAGACACTCAGCTGTGGGCTTGGTGTGTGACAGGCCTTAGGGAGAAGCAGCAGGAGTGGTTTGAGAGGGAGCAACAAGTGGCCTCGAGAATGGAAGCTCTCAAGAGATGAATGCAGGAAATACTGGAGAAAATGTCCAAAAAGAAGGAGACTTGGCTGGCCAGGTGCTTCAAACTTCCTGGCTCCAAATGAACACAGTATCTACGTATTTGCGTTTCTCTGTTTTTGTATTGTTTTGTTTTGTTTTGCTTTTATGACCTAAAAACATTTTCAATAACAGTCCACAAGCTTGTCCAACAAATAGTCCATCAACTACCGAAAGAGAAATGAAAGGATAAATCAGTCATTTTCCATATTAACCCTTTAATCCTAACCTTAAACCTTGACTGTAACCCTTACTAAAACTGCATTCTATTAATATAGAAAAATGAGAGGCCTAATCCTTTGAGGAAATATTGGAGAAAAACTCTGTGGGCTCCAACTTTGGTACTGTACATGGGATCATATGTGATTTGCTTTTGTTCTGCTTTGTTGTTGCTATTTTGTTCATGTCCTAAATACAATTTTTTAAAGACACTTCTTTGTTGTTGTTTCATTTCTGTCAAGAATTCTAAGTTGCATGTCAGTTAATGTGTAAGCTGTCGCTGGTTGGCTAGTGGTTAAGGCACAGTGCTCTCGCTGCTGCGGCCCGAGTTCGAATCAGGGTTGCGTCAAGAAGGGTATCCAGCGTAAAACATGTGCCAAATGTCAACATGCGACTCGTCCTTGTGATGATTCGCTGTGGCGACCACTGAACGGGAAAAGCCGAAAGTGACTTTACTTATGTCAGTTAATGTGTAAAACAGCTGTAATGAGATCATGTTGATGATCCCACCCTGCCTCCTACAAAGTATCAACAGGTATAAGACAAAAATAGAGGTGCAAGACTAAATAAAATATTTGTCAGGGTGTTTTTTTATGCAGTTCCCCCTCTTCTGTTGCCTTTGATTTTTTCCACACTGACAGATTGCCTTAGGAATGGAACATCTTTGCAGCACCTCTAAATCATTACTCACACTGAGCACCATAAACCACACCTCCCTACTAGTAAAACTCATTATCCACCCCTGACTGCAACAAAATTGGCTACTTTCTGTCCAAGGTAGGACTTTAAATCTATAATTATTTATCAATCTTAGGTTTCGTGATGCATTGGCGAGTGTAATGGGAATTTTGTGTTAGTATCCTTTTTACAGTTTTGACTGTTATTTTATGCAGTTATTTGTGTGCTTGTGAAACTAGACAGTTGACTGTATCAGCATGTGTCAGCATGTTTGTAGTGATAAGCATCCCTTTGTGTGAATGCTGAACTAGATAACTTGTATTCTGTTTTAACCAGTATCGTGTTTCCTTTATCTGTTTGAGCATCTGTTTTCTGTTGTTGTATGCTGGGTATAAGAAGGGCAGTCACATTCTGTTCATGGAGCTTCCCTGCAACAGACTGGTTTAGACACTCTGTTTAGAGATCGCTCCTTCCTGCAGGAATAAATATGTAATCATTCTCAGAGTTGATGTTAGGTATTTATTTTACACTCACTGAGCTTTAATAGATCATTTTTCCACAACAATGGTCCAGAGGTAGCGGTCTCGCCTCCCATGTTTGATGACCATTGCTCCAAACCCAGCTACCAGCGCACAAGCCTAGTGCTAGGCACAAGCCCAGCTAAGATGGGGGGGGTTGCATCAGGAAGGGCATCTGGTGTAAAAACCTGTGCTAAAACATACATATTAATGGAGCTCAGTAAAATTAATTTACTTTCACTGGAATTCTTGGCACTGATAGTCTCATGTAACATGACATGATTTAATATGTAATGTACTGTAAGTGAAGGGAGAAAATGAAGCTAAAAACTAATGCTACTAGGACAAATTTTAATTCCATTAACAATCTAATCTAATCTAATTTTCTGCAGCTTCAGTGTTTCAAGGCACACTGGATTTACCGCTTCCCCATGACTGATGGGAACCACCTACAGGTGCTGGAGCAGATGGCTGACAGCGTCCTGTCACCTAACATTCCCAGATAGTTTGTCAAACTGCTGCTGGAGGAGCATGTGGTAGTCCTGATTATGTCAACTGTTTTTGTGACTTTTTGAAAGTCAAGATTATTTTTTTGCATTAGTGGGTAAATTGTTTGGTCTCTAAAATGTCAGAGACTCCTAATTTCCTTAAGCCTTCACATGTCTTGTTTCACTGGCCAAAAACCCTGAAATCCAAAGAAATTCAGTTATCATAGATTGAGAAAAGCAGAAAATTCTCACAACTGAGAAGCTGGAACCAGAGATTATTTGGCTGTTTTGCTTGAATAATGAAATGAGTTGTCTACAGTATTACTGGTGAAGTAATTTAAACTATATCTGCTAGCAAGTGTAGTAAAAGTGGAAGCTTTACACACACAATTCTTCTCAGAGCCTAACAGCCTTTTTTGTCTTAACAACTGTTCCTCCATCTCCAGGGGGTGGGAGCTGTAGGAGCTGGGAGAGTTATCATCCTGCTGGAAGAATCTGTGGTGACAAATCATCTCTCAGTACCAAACCATAATACTCACGTACCAGAAAACACTGTCTGACCTCAGTGTTTACAGAGGTGAGCGTCCTTTTTACCTTTTTACCTGCAAAATTAGGTGAGCGTCCTTTTTACCTTTTTACCTTTTTACCTGCAACATTGTCAGGTGAATCTTAAGAAGGGCTATGATTAGGTTTCCTGTTGTATCTGTTAAAACCCCATTATTTCCCCCATTGCCATTCAAAGCCAGTAACCTGAGAGCAGAGAGAAAGCTGGAGTTCATGCCAACCACCATACATGTACAAAAGATGAGGGTGCAGGATGAGCTGAGCTTTGGTGAAGCTTGACAAGATACACACACACTCAGACACAAACACACATAAACACGCACACCCTTCAGCTCCAGGTTCTTGTAATTTCTATTCACACATACACCTTTCTTATTTTAAACATCTCTGGCTGTGCCTGCACAGTTCTTTCCCAGAACACACACATGATTGACAGTTGGAGCTCCAGCGGCTCAGCATTAGGCTTGTATTGATCTAAACAAAGTTATTTTGCGTGAAAGTTTTACCTGCCTTTGGTTTTACGTAAAATGAATGCATTATTTCATTAATTGTGTTTATGCTACTTTTTTAGATCAGCATACTACACATCTAGGGCATATTTTAGTCTGACACAGGAGAAGAACCGTCTGTCACTTTGATATATGAGGATCAGTAAACATCAGAAGCAAAGTCAATCCCTCAGAGCCACAGATGTGACACTCAGGTGAAAAATGCTAAGAAGCAAGAAACATATGTTCATGCAGGAGCTTTAACTTTTATTCAATTTGAAGTACACAGTTAGGAGCTGATAATGTCCATATGCTTGGTGTCTGCAGAATGAACACACTTCAGTTCCGAGGGTACTTTCCAGTTGTCGAGGCATTTGCACCTCTCTCTTTGGTGTCTTATTTAATCAGCTTATTTTCAATTTCAGAGTGCATCAGTACTTCCAGTGGTCCATGAGACACCCGGGCTGTATCATGACATCTGCATTTATATAAGCTGCATCATGCAGCTACAAACAAATACAGTTATCTCATCCTTCAGCAGCCTCTTTTTGTCACAGTTCCTCACACCTCCTCCATTGTAAACAGATAAATTAACAGCAGCAACAAGTTGACGGCCACGTCCAGACTGCGAGGCGGGAGTGTAGAAACAGAGAAAAAAAAAAAAATGAAGAAGAAAACTGACGCATTCTGCAGCTCACATTAAAACCAACTACCTACAAGCGCCCACACTCTCTCTTTCTCCCTCCTCTCCAGCTCTCTGGTTTTCTCTGTGAGTGTGCACATGTGTGGGTGGGAAAGGAGTGTGCAGGAGTTGAAAATGTCAGAACTCACTAAGCCTTACCTTAAAATAGCCTGTTTTTGCAAATAGCTGATATTTTCCATGGGCAGTTATCAGGGAGCCGTAGCTGGAGCCTCTCTGAGAAGGTGGAAAGGAGTAGTGAGAAGAAAACGTGTCAGCGTATATAGATTAGAGCAAAGAGGATTAAATCTTGGTCATTTAAGACTTTCTACAAAGGCTTCCTCTGCTGACAGTCTCACTCAAAATACCTTTCTTTGTGCAACATGAAACTGTCTATCACTTATGTTTGAGAAAGACTTTTCAGCTCGTGTCCTTGGCCGAATGTCTGCGGTGCACACAACGTGAATAAAAATCAAGTGGGTGTGTTGCATACAGCCATCTAGCGCAGTCAACTACACATTTGTATAAAATGCAACACATGGCATACTGGAAAATACATTGGTCTGGAAAATTACTGTGTTTTACACACGCACGTATTATTCCAGGAATTGGACTGGAAAGCAGTAATGAAAAAGGTGTGTGCATGTGCTTTTCATGAATGCTTGCACGTGTGGCACGAAGCACAACCCGAAGGAGATGCATAAGCCCCCAGACACCAGAACTTGATACTCAAGGAACGTGATTAGGTATTATACATGTAGGAGCCGGGGCCAGATGAGGGCTTATTTTAACAATCATTTAACATGCATCTCCCTACCACAAAACCCCGCCACCTTCAGTAAGTCACTAGGAAAGCTTTCAGGAATGTGTAAACTACCAGAGTGTGGACTGTCTCAGGCTGCAGCTTTGTGTTCTCAAAGAAAAACCACAAACTGCATTTTAATACACAGCACAGAGTGTGTATACAAGGTGAAGCTCCACATTGCAAACATATCATATAAGCATTGTCAGTTCATGTTGGGTCCAGTTTTAAAGCAGCAACAACATGAGACTGATAATCAGTCCTATATGAATGAAAGTTGTGGACCCTGGCAAACACGGAAGCAGAACCTGCCAGAAGATCTATTTAATAATTACACACTGGAGACTGTGCCAGTAACGCTGACAGAATAAAAGGCTGTATAAAGTCAGAATTATTGTGAACTACTCAGGGCTGCCAGCTTTAATATTAGGTGGGTATAACACTTAGCTTTTAACTCTGCTCCATTTATTTTCTGTCCTCACCTGCACATTCTTCTTGGTCTTTCACATTGCAAGTACATAAATTTGTATGCAGAGGAGCATTGTCTGAGAAGATCATCTACCTGTGAGAGGGTGAGTCGACTGCCGGCTCGTTTGTGGTATTTATTGGGGCTCTCAAACTGAAGGTCCTCCCATCGAATCCTCCACAGCATTCCAGCCAGCTCTTTCTCCAGCTTCAGCTTCCTTAAAACAGCAAGAAAACAGGTGGTGAAAAAAAAAACAAGGACAGCAGCACAAGGACAAAGAACAATCTTGCATAAAGAGCAGTGGGTTGAGATTGGAGAGGTCATGAGCAAAACTGTGAATGTGGAACTAAAAATCTCATGGTTTTATTTTGAGGAATAAGTGTATGATATTTCAAACAATACAGAAACGATATGGATTTAATTTGACAAGTCACCTTAAATAAAGATCTAATTTCTCTCTAGTTTGTCACTTTATGGTTGATCCCATGGTGGTATTTCCTCAGATTGTGCTCTCAGATGTTAGTGCCAAAGGCTTGAAGTTGTGTCTGCGTGTTGGTGCATGCAGGCTTGTGTGTTTTATTAGAATGTAACTTTAGTGGTCCATATGTTTGGCTGACTGAAGTGTAGTGGAAAACCACCTTCAAGGTGAATTATTTCTAGCCAGGCCAAAGAACTTTTAAACAACTTTTGAGATATACACATGAAATATATACAACATATATAAAGACACAAACTGAAATGAAGTTCAATCAACTGATCATGAACTCAAAAGTCAGGGTTTTTTTTACCCTTATGAAAGAACATTTTGTGAAATGGTGAGCTGACCGAAAGTCATTTTGAGCATTCAATAAACTTTAAGGTTTTCTTATTTACAGAAAGCCTCTATTGTGCACTTTACTATTGTGCACACATGACGGAGACTTGTTCTGATGACTCATGGCTCTTTTCTTCAAAAGAAAAATGGAAAAAAAAAATAACAATGATAACCATGGTGAAGATAATGCACCACCAAAAGTCAGGGCACACTCTTTAACAAACTTGCTGTGAGCAGACTCAGATGTTCTAACCTTGTTTTAGTACTAATCACCTAGTACAAAAATAACTTCCAAATCAAAAACCTGTAAGAATTATGGTTCCTTAAAATGCAGAACATTAATATAAATGCATGTTTAAATGGTCAGAATAAAACCATTCTGGCTGATGTTTCTGGCATCTCCATTTGGCCCAGTCAGCGTCATTTTAAATCATCATTAGCTCCATTTTTCCCTGATCACTTCTCGTGTCACAATGGTGTATTATGGTTGAATGACAGAGTAGATAGAACATGCTCTACAACAACCTCCGAATGTCCTCACAGCCTATCCAGACTAATTAATCTCATAATTGTCATGTCAGGGATATTTGTGACATGTTTTGAGTGTTATTTTGAGCATCAGTCTGACTGGCAGACATCCGGGACCACCAAGGGGGAGCGGCATTCCAGCGAATCAGCACATCTGAACAAATCTCAGATGAGCTGTTGTTTCTTGATGCTTAATGATTTACAGCAAAAAAACTTTTTTTAAAATAATACTATTAGTTTTTTAAAACACTTAGAAATGAAAAAATGAGCAAAGCCTACAGATTCCTGCCCAATCTAAAAGGTGCAAAACACTTCCAGATGGCTGCAAGAAATGACTGCAGTGTTTGCATATCGCCGTGTTTTCGCCTTTCCACGAGCCATCTCACTTGACCCTGACAGTTGTTGGACCTAGAAACCTAAGGGGGACTCTGATGCTGGTTTGTGTCTACAAATACTTCAGGTCATGCCCATGTGCAACAATTTTGAGGGCAGGAAACACCACTAAACCACCGGTGCCCTGCAGCTCCATCCACCATCACCACCAAAAAAGGTATTTTTCTATTTAAAGAGCTGCATTTAGAGACCTCTGGCAGCCAGAGGGGCAAAGTGTTGGGCTCCACACTGGGCCTATTGTTTCTTAAGTCCCACATGTGAATACTTCTGCTGGACCAAGCCCTCCATTAAAACAGAGCTGCTCTGCTCAACATCCCCCCACACTGCTGCTGCACAGCAGACTCCAAAATCAACTGAGAGCAGCCGAGTGTCCACCTGGTTAAACCTGCGCCATGAAATATATAAATCAGAAAGCAGAAGAGCAAAAATGTTGTTTAAACACTCAAGCAAGTAAAAAAAAAATAAACCGAGAGGAAATTATCCTTTTCTTGCATGAATCAGTATGTTTCAACAATACTCCACCACATTCTCTCTTATTTCACACTCATTTCTAAAAGAAAATCACTTAGACAAGAATTGTTCATGAAATCTTTTGTTTTTCAGAAAAAGTGGCATTACTAATACATTGTTTGTTGTAGTGCAGACGTATTACTACAAACCAACAAAGAGACAGACAATTCAGTACACAAGTTACTTTTTATTAAATTTGACTGATGTATATTTTACAAAGGTAACAACTGTAAATTGTATCATGTCAAAGAGTAATCTGTTACCAAAACTAACTAATCAGCCACTCGCTTCCCCTAGAAAATGCACCAATAATTTCACAGAACAGTGCTCATTTTATTACAGATTCATTTTGGGTTTCTCAACCTTCTCTGCCCTGTGAACTAAATCAAACTCACACATTTCCGATTCCCCCAGCAATCAGAGATTTAATTAGTATAAATTTTTTGTTATATGTATTTTAAAAAACAAACAATAATAACACTATATAAAAGGAGCAGCAAATATATACTGATATCATATAGGTTCTATTTAATTTTTCTCATCAAAAATATATCAAATGAATATTAATGAGTCAGTCAACCATATATGCATATCATATGACTGAAGCTCTGGGTAATCATCTGGCTAATCTGAGAATAAGTGCTGCCAGTGACAAAACGCAGTGTTAACGTTTTAGTGGTAGTTTTGTAGGTCAAGTACTGAACATAGAGAAATCTTAGCAGCTGGTCGACCTTTAGGACAGCTTTAAATAGCTCCGCTGTCCGCCTCGCTGTCCATCAGTGAAGTTCCACCAGTGCCTGCGTAAACAGGATGTGATTTGTTAGCATTTGGTATCAAACAGCATCAAAAAACATCTAACTTGTAGAAATGGTTTATTTAATGCGTTTTACAGTTTCATGGCCTTGGTCACATGACTCAAAATCTCGTAAAAGACAATATACTTGGATCTCAGATTAAAAAAAAAAAAAAACTCAACACACACACACACACACAAGCACATTTCACATTTCATAAAAGCATATTTATGCCCACAAAAGAGCATGTTTCACGAAACTCACCGGCCAAGAGTCCAGGACATCTACAGTAGCTAACTAGTTAGGAAACTGTGAGGTACTTGCTGAACAGTGAGCTGAAAAATCAGAAAGGAAGATGTTAATGTTTTTAGAATGAAGTGCACTCCCTGTGTCTAATTATCTGGATATGAAACATGATCAACTCAGATTGAGGTTTAGTGGATTTACCTCAGGTGGAAAGTTGCTCCTCCATCTGTCTTCCACCATTCCTCTGATCAAAATCCATTCTGATTGGCTGGTGATTAACACTTGTTTGTGTTAATTAGTCAGTCTTAGTCAGTATTAGAAAAGTGATCAGTTGATTTCTTAGAGCGGTATAGTGACATGCTGTATAAATCAACTCCTCTTTAATTGAAGATAATTGTGTTGATTAGTCATGAATATTGTCAACTACTTTGAAGAAGTGATGGAAAAGGGAAAAATAGAAACATTAATTTTCTTTTATTACATGCAGATTCCACCCATGACATTACTTAGACATTAGTAATCCTTCCAATAGTTTAATTTCTTAGGGCATGCATGATTAACTTCTTATATAATCTAATACTCAGAATGAGTTCCATAAACACAGACTGAACCACTTGGGACACTTAACAATTTCATTTTAATCTGTTTTTACAGCTGAATGCGGAGCCAAAGTAATAACCATTGGAAATGTGGCAGGCGATTATTTTATCTTAAACATAAACAACTGCATGAGGCGGCAATTTGCAATTAAACACTAGCATTTATTTCAATACTTAATTACATATCATCAAATCCAGTGTATTTTCAACTTCATTCCCAGTCTGTGGGATTTCTACTGCCACCTCAGCACTGCCTGATTTGGTTCCTGTTGGTCAGTTCTTGTTCTGTTCATTTCTTCAAAAAAGCAGGGGTCCAGTTTTGGAAATGATACTTTTTCACTTACTGTTTTTTGTGCCTTCAGTGAATGTCTACACCATTAAAAAAATAACTAAGCAAATAAGTAAATGAATGAATGGCAGGTTGTGCTTGTTTCTAGAAATGACTGTCTAGAAATTCATCTGGACACAAAAGACCCACGTATTCACGCCACTGCACTTGGTTTGCATTGTAAGCACATTTAAAAAATATCTTCCTACAGCAGAGGTAGACAATTTCTATTGTAGAATTAGGACACAAAAGTGTATTCCTTTGAGAGAAGCACAAAAATCACCTAGGCTTATGTTTTCCTCCTCATATCAGCAGCAAGTTATTAAAATTTGTGCCATTTAGCGGACACACTAAAGATCATTAAGTGATAATAGCAGTGAGGGTTGTTCGGGGCCAGTATATGAGCTCACTTGGTAGCTTAAGCACAATTCACAGCTGCTTTAGCACCATCACCTGCTGAGCTGTTGCTGTGGCAACAGTTGTGTAAATACCACACTGGCACCTATAGCGGCACGACTCATAAATCATGTTTCACATATGTCTCTCTCTCTCTCTTCTTTTTCTGTCTTTGCGAGCAATAAAAAAGTCATCTCAGCATTTCTGCAGTTTGAGCTGAAAGCAACACAGACAGGAAGTGTCAGCGCGATGAGATCACACTCACCTGTAAATGAGGAAGCTGCTGATTCCAAAAATGATGAGCGCTAAGCTGGATCCCACAGCTACAATACCCAGAACGGGCAGATGACCTGGAAAGAGGAAAAAAAAGGATTCCACAATGAGTAGACTCTCATATGTTCAACAGATGTCCACATTCATATCTTTGAAAAGAAGGAAAGAAAAAGGCAGCATGCTGTGCAAAACACAGCTGTGACTTCCCGAAGTGCAGCTGTACTGCTTTAGTAATCTGTCAGCTGGAAACACCAGTAACAATTTCACACAATTACACAGCTCTGGCAGTCCTGATATATATTTAAAACACTGATGGATTCTAATTATACCACTTGCTGTAAATCACTGGATAAAATGGTAGGGATCATTAGGAAAATATCATTTTAGCAGTAATTAACAGAAGACAACGTTTTTATCTTACTAGCAGTTATAGTCTATATTATTCATCAAATTCTGTGGAAGATGCTAAAATCTATACATTTTTATAAATGCATACTGTAGAATGAATCAACAGACAATATACCCAGATTTCCCTGAGGTTTCAGAATAGCAGATTTTATTCTAAAAAATTATATAAATATGGATTTGTCCAAGGCTCATCAACTATAGTCATGCTGATGAGAAATACTGGTGTTTGTCTTTGTGTGTGCTTATCTGCAAATACAGCAAAACAGCAACCATTAAAGGAATCATTTAATATTTTTGTAAATACACATCTTTGTTTTCATTCCAAGAACCACACGGGAAGATTGATATCAAATGCAGTATTTACACAGCTGGAGTCCAGACACATTCAGCCAGGCCTAGCACAAAGTCTGGGGGCATGGGGAAACAGCTAGCCTGACTATGTCCAGAGTGAAACAAAAGTCTACAGCCAGCAGCTCTTTTCTGTACCAAGGAACAGTGGTGCTTTGGAGCAAATGCAAACTCATTAACATGCCCACAGAAACAATGCTAACATTGTCGAAGATAACATGCTTAGCCAGTGTGTTACCAAGTCCATCAGTGTTGCCTATTAGCATGCTAGCATTTGCTAAGTCACACTAAAAACAAAGTAACAGAGGAGTTAAACTGGGCCGGAGCCCTCCTGACTACATGGCATGCTGCTGGAGCCCAGCTCCATCTCCTTCAGCATCGGCTTCAATTTGAGATATCGGTGTGTGTTATCTCACCAAACCTGTCAGTTTCACTGTGATGACAAAACTATCTGATACCGATTGTTTTTTGTTTTGTTGAATTCTTTTTTTTTATTTTAGTACAGTAAAACTCAAGGTACTCTGTACTGAGGTCTAGTTTGATATTGAAGCTTAGAGGTACTAATTTATTTAGTTCTCTCATTCTCTTCAAGAAAACATACAGTATTCTGGTTGTCTTCATTTCTTTACTCTGTAGATTAGACTCTGTTTTTATTGTGCTCTATGTGTCTGATCATGATGAGAATCTCAGTCATCAATATGTTTCTGCAAAGTCTCGAGCATTCATTGTCCTTGGTGCTGAAAGCACTGAAGAAGGCGACATCCAGGCTCTCAACTCTGCCAATTATCTGCGAATGGCTTCAGATTTTAGGACGGAGGCAGATTTATTGCTCCTCTCCTCATTATCCTTTCTTTATGCCAGAATACATTTATAATTGCAGTGGTTTTCCCTTTCAGTTTATCATTTGTGACATCTCCCTCTGAAACCATCACTCTGTTCATACACCAAAGACTATTTCCAGGGCTCATTTTTCACATTGCCTGTTATTCAAGCAAATATT